GCACCTCAGCTCTCAGATGACAAAGCGATGAAAATTTATATTTCTAATCCTTATCTTTGTCTTTCAATATAGAGAATTGGAATGGGCCAATTGCTCTGAATTGGACATTTTTTTTCCGACTTTACGCGAAAGGAGACCATGTGCTGAATAGACCACGGGCAGTTAGCTCTTAGCCTGATAGTCGAATCGAAGATAAATGCTTCTATTACGAAATAAATCACACAAGTATGGAGCTCTTGGCCGCAGCCATCAGACCAAATTCTGTGCAATTCTCTTGAGAGCCATCATAAAATAGAAAATAATAATGAGCAGATAAAGCCGAATGGAAAACAAAAACTGAGTGTCAAGACTAGAGAAGAAAAGACAGAAGGCACGTTAATATGGCCCTCAACCAATATTTATAGAAATCCAACGGAAGTGAAAATGTAGCACAAGGTTGTTGAGAGAAAATTCCATGCATAACAAAAACTAAGTTAGATGAAAAACAATAAGATATATTTATTAAAAAATTTTATTACAATCTGACCCTAGTTCGAGAAAATATACTTTACAAATTGATCCTTGGCTACATCGACCAAGAACAAACCCCTCCTAACTAACTTCTTATACATATATGGTCGTCGAGTTAGAATTGAACCTCTTGGTCGTCCTCGTAATGAACCCTCTACAAAATGCATCTTCCCAGAGTTCTACAACCTCTTGGCAAAAACAAAACACCTTCCCCTACATTTCCTGCAACACCACTCAAAGATCCTAATCCCGCCAAGTCAAAGCATTCTCCACTTCTTCTAAGAGATGGTTCAAGGTTCTTGGGGACATTAAGTGTCCCTCAGTTGCCTCCACATGAGCCTCCACAGGATTAGCTTGGTGATCGACCACATTCTCCTTGCTACTAGTCAGTGTTGGGGGAATGAGTTTAACAACAAGGACAAGTTTGGCAACCACCATCGACCGACAATTCCCCATCTCGAGGATCCTATTCTAGAAGAAAAAAAATCAAATCAACAAGCTACAAGGAACTTAAACAGAGAGAAAATGAAAGGAATCATATACCCAAAATCTAATTCACATTAGACCAAGTAGTTCCACCAACATAAAAAGTCATAAAATCATCAACTAACCTCTTTTCTCTGATTGGAGAGTCACTTCTTTTAACCCCTTATACACATGTTGAGGAAATGATAACAACCCCTGTTTAGATATGAACTTCAGCAGGGCTCTTCATCGATGGATAGAATGCTAAGTCTCACAACAACTCATCGATAGGTTGAACCTTCTCTGAAGTCCCTCAAATCATGTCGGACGACTCCTCTATCTCCACTCATTTTGTGGGTTTTAGTTTTTGCCAACCTCTTTTCTTTGGCTCAACCCCACACCGACGTTGTCCTATACCAAGAGCAACCAATACTTTTGCCTAGTCTAAAAATTTTAGCTCCAAATTAGAACCTTTTTCGATAATGGAATCATAGAAACTAAATGAAATAAAATAACAGACACAAAACAATAGAACCGCCCCATACATCTTTTATATAAGGACCGTGAACATAGAAATCAAGGATACCTTATTACATTATATTATGATTGTTAAGATTCAATTTATTACATGTAACAATTTTCTTTGTTTTTATCATAGTTGTTGTTATTAAGTAGCAAAAAAATTGGATAACTTAATATGTACACTCAAAAATGACTTGCATGAATTTCAAGACAATCTGGTGATCCAGATAAAAAATTAAGTATTCATAAAGTTAACTAGCTAAAGAACCTTCGGGTTACTAACAACCAACCAACCTAAAGACTCGTGACTGACCAAAGGTTCCTCATGTCGAATGAAAACTGGTCTCTCCCAAAAGACCGAACAAGAGTCCAGTACACCAAGCAATCACTTAAGCATTATAGTGAGGGTCTCAACATTCCTCCCAAAGATTACTAAGAAATAAACAAGACGACCGATCATGCTAAAGAAGGTCGGATATAACACTCAAAGCCGACTAGCCTCTTTGGATGATGACTGACCGACCGACCAACATCTAGATAAAATAGCCAACTAGCCCCAACAGAGTCGACCAACTCAAGGAACTTCCAACCAAATGGTCTAGAAAAATCAAAAGACTCATAAATCAGTTAGAAATACAAAATGACACGATAAAATACAAGAATGTCATGTAACCCTCTCATCAAAGTAGGGATAGATATGTAATTTTTCTCTTCATAACCCCCTATCTTCTATAAATAGGGGTCTAATACATGTAAAAAAAGTTTTTTTGGCTCTTCTCTTGAAACCCATACTTTGTAAGGATACATCTCGCTTTTGTTTTGCAACTCTTCAGTTATGAGCTATAAAATGGGTCAAAGAACCCGAGAACACCACAATTTGCCCCTACAAAACAAGTTTGTATGTGTTCTTTTACTTCTCTCTCTCTCTCACTATTTCTCTCTCCACTTCCCCCTCTAGATTCCTACCGCTTCGACCTTTGGGCATGCTTCACATGACATAGATTCAATAATATATATATATATA